CCCCCCCCCCCCCCCCCGCAATTTATATGGCACTGTAATTAATAATAAGTAGTGTTCCTGCCAACCTAGCGGTTCGAAAGCAAGAAATTGCAAGTAGATAAATAGGTACTGCTTTGGTGGGAAGGTAACAGCGTTCCATGCGCCTCAGTGTTTAGTCATGCCCGCCACATGACCACAGAAACATTTTAGGACAGCGCTGGCTCTTCGGCCTGGGAACAGAGATGAGCAGCGCCCACTAGAGTCGGATTCAACTGGCTTTCGAGCAAGGGAAACCTTTACCTTTATTAATTATTATTTATTTACTTAGTTAATACCCCACTCTTCTCCCCAATAGGGACTTATCCTCACTAGAATCTAGTGAAGTAGGTTGGGCTGAGTATGTGACTGGCTCAGGGTCACCCAGCAAGCTTCCATGGTAGAGTGGGGATTCAAACCTGGGTTTCTCAGATTCTAGTCCAGCACTCGAACCACTACACCATCCTGGCTCAGCAAGTAATAAGATGATCAATATGAATTATGGAGTTATAAAATGCATTCTAATTTGTAAAACTATACTCTTTAACACTTTAAAGGCTAACTTACTGCAGCATAAGCTTTTGTGTACTATAGCCTACTCTGGCAGGTGCATGTGTTGTTATCAGTTGACAGAAATATATGCATATATTTATGCCCATGCACAAACCATGTGATTTGTGCTATGTATCTATTTCGATCAAGGTAAAGTAACACTTGGTTGTATCTTTTTCCTTTAACGTCTCCCCCCCCCTTTAACATCTAACACCTACTGAAGACACTAATATTGAACCTTAAAAAGTGAAAGTCCATCAAGTTAATTAAGAAAAATACCCTGCTATAGACAGGCCAAATATAATATTGGTTTCATTAAAGGAAGAATTTCTCCTCTAAAGGGTAGATTGTCTGTCTATCTGTGTTTTACTTAGTTCACAATTTTCTGGATGTGCTTTTTATGCTAATACTTGTTTTTAATAGAATCGGAAGAATGATGAAGCCTCTTATGAGAAGATGCTGAAATTAAGAAGGGAATTCAGTAGAGCCATAACGATTTTAGAGATGATTAAGAGAAGAGAGAAAACAAAAAGAGAGTTGTTGCATTTGACATTGGAAGTTGTGGAAAAAAGGTAAAACGTCTTTCGAAAAACTTAATTTTAACTGGTCTAATTAAAGATGTTCACCCACTATGGCCAGTGACGTAGTTTAGTTTAAATGTGTAATGCCCTTCGTTAGTAAGTTTACCATAAGGGATAGAATGCTGCACTCAAGCTTGGCTTATCTGGTGTCCTGTCCCATATTGGCCATAGATTCTTCAGGTCGCCTGAATTAAGCTGTTCTCATATTCGGTGTTCTCCATTTGTGGAATGGAAATAATTGTGACCTGCTTAACATGATTTCTGTGAGGATAGATAGCCATGAGAGGACTTCAAGCACCTTTGTTATGTAATTTTATGCAGTCTAAACCCATTTATTTCAGTGGGCTTTGACTGGGGTAAGGCTACAGAAGATTGCACCATTAAAGTCCTGCATGAATTAACAACTTTTTTTTCTTTATAAAGATACCATTTGGGTGATTACGGAGGTGAAATACTCAATGAAGTCAAGCTTAATACAACTGAAAAGGAGATGAATACCACTCCAGCAGCTCTCCATAATGGAAATCACCACAAAGTTCAAGAATGTAAAGTTAAGGTAAAAGTTTTAGAAGTATTTCTCTCACTCTGGGTTGGTCAGAGCAGATATATTGTCCTATGCACTGTGGAGGAGGAGAGCCTTCTGGTGTGGCAGCAATAATTTTTTTCTGTCTGTTTCTATTTTGGGTAGTCCATTATAGTTCTGTGTTTTGTGTTAGCTCTTTGAATATCACTGACATCTGAATGACATTTGATCTGGGAATCTTAGATTTACTTTGCCCCATGGATTATGTATCTAGTTAGAACAAGAAATTATTTGGATCCAGGTGTGCATTGTGCAGATGGAAGTATACATCTTTTCACACACAGAGTGGATTTCCACTTATTCTTCCACTACAACTTACTGTGTGCCATGGTATTCTTGAAGGTCTTTTACCCTTTAGCTGTGGACTGTGCTATGAAAGGCAAAGTGGTTCTTTGGATCAAGTCCAGCATTCTAGGTATATGGAAGGCAGTTTTGGGGTTGGTTGCCTCCCTAACCTGGTAACCAAAGTTTTTCTAAGTCAAGATCATAAGCACTGCTTTGCTAGTAAACCTGTTATCACTTAGTGTTTTTACAAGAGCTGTCGCAGAGCTCTTTGATAATTATTTTTAGACAAGTTCATTGAATAGCTAGCTAACATATATCCGAGTATCTCAGTTCAGGCCTGTTGCTTGGCACTTTGCTTGATATTGGGAAATAAATACTTGAAATAAATACATTTCTACTCTGAATCCCCCCCCCAATATTTTAAACCAAGAAAGGCACATTTTCTTAAAATCTCTCTTCTGTATTTAACTTGG